GGATCAAAGATTAATTGTAGAAATATTTATTTAATTGATTCATATACGACACATACAATATTCAAAGAGAAGAAATATTTCTCTCATTTAAGTATGTGTAAGGAAGATGTTACTATGATTTCTGGTAGTAGTAATCTAATTGAAGGCTCTGGAAGAGGTACTATAACCCTGCCTAGGGGAACAATACTTATCATAGATTATGCAATGTTCTCCTCTAAGTCCAAGAGGAACTTGTTGAGTTTTAAAGATATCCGCCGAAATAGATATCATATTGAGACAATAGATGAGAATAATCTTGAATATCTCATCGTTACCAAGAATGTGTTTGGCCAGAAAAGGGTTATTGAGAAGTTTCAATCTTTATCTTGTGGCCTGTATTGGACAAAAATTAGTGCAATTGAAGCACATTCTATCGTAAACCAAAAGGTTATTAATCCCAATACTTTTGCACTTTGGCATGATCGATTGGGACATCGTGGATCAATTATGATGAGACGAATTATAGAGAACTCAAATGGGCATCCATTGAAGAATTTAAAGATTCTTTTAATTAATGAATTTTCTTGCACTTCTTGTTATCAAGGCAAGTTAATTATTAGACTGTCACCAACAAAGGTTGGGATTGAGTCCCCTGCATTTTTGGAACGTATACAAGGGGATATTTGTGGACCTATTCACCCACCTAGTGGGTTATTTATATATTTTATGGTCTTAATAGATGCATCTTTTATATGGTCTCATGTGTACCTATTGTCATCTCGCAACCTGGCATTTACAAAATTAATGGCACAAATAATTCGATTACGGGCACAATTCCTCGATAATCCAATTAAGTCTATTAGACTTAAAAATGTTGCTGAGTTTTCATCTCAAGTATTTAATGATTATTGCTTATCAGTTGGGATAAAAGTGGAACATCCTGTAGCTCGTGTTCACACTCAAAATTGTACAGTCTTTGATTAAACATCTGCAATTGATAGCAAGATACTCATGAAAACGAGGTTACGCACTTCTGTTTGGGGTCATGCCATTTTACATGCAGCAATGCTAGTTCGTCTCAGGCCGACAAATTATCATAAATATTCCCCGGTGCAATTAATTTTGGGTCATGAACCTAATATATCTCATTTAAAAATTTTTGGGTGCGAAATATATGTGCCTGTAGCACAGCCATATCACACCAAGATGAGTCCCCAAAGAATGTTAGGAATATATGTTGGGTTTGAACCGCCCTCCATTATTCGCTACCTTAAAACATTAACGGGAGATTTGTTTACTGCTCGATTTGCATATTGTCGATTCGATGAGGCATTTTTTCCAAAAATAGGGGAGAAATTGGTGAAACCAAACGGAAAATTTTGTGAAAAAATTCATCATTGTCTCATCTTGATCCACGTGCCTCTATTTGTGAAAAAGAGGTGCAAAAGATTATCCATTTGCAGAAAATAGCAAATCATATGCCAGATGCATTTACGGATCTGAAAAGGATAACGAAATCACATATCCCTGCAGAGAATGTTCCAATCCGTATTGATGTCCCTGTTGGACAATCTTCTAGTGTCATAGCTAATGAGTCAAACACACGCCTAAAGCGTGGCGGACCATTGGGTTCTAAGGATCGAAATCCTTGAAAAAGAAAAATAAATGATTAAGATGACACTACGAATGAGTCTCATAAAGAAACTCAAGATTTAACCAATCTTGAGATTCATGAGAAAGTCAATGAGCCTGAGACTCAAGAAAATAAGGAACTATCAATAAATTCAATCGATATTGGGACATGTTTGAGTCGATTAAATATAGTGGTGGATTATGTCTTTGCATACAATGTTGCATCTAGAATTATGCAAGATAATGAGGATCTTGAACCTCAATATATTGGAGAATGTCGAAAAAGACGTGATTGGCCAAAATGGCAAGAAGCTATCCAATCTGAGTTAGATTCACTTGCGAAACATGAAGTTTTTGGGCATGTAGTCCAAACACCTAATGGTGTTAAGACTGTTGGCTATAAATGGGTCTTTGTACATAAGAGAAATGAGAAAAATAAAGTACAAAGATATAAGGCACGCCTTGTTACATAAAGAATTTCACAAATGCCTGGTGTCGATTATGAAGAGGCATATTCACCTATTATGGATGCAATAACAATTCGTTATCTCATTAGTTTTGCTGTCCATAAAAAGTTTGGCATGCATTTAATGGATGTGGTTACAGCCTACCTTTATGGCATACTTGATAACGAAATATACATGAAAATTTCGGATGGATTTAAAATGCATGACACACATAACCCAAAGTCCCAAGAAATATTTTCAATCAAATTGCAAAGATCTTTGTATGGTCTAAAGTAATCAGGAAGAATGTGGTATAACCACCTTAGTGAGTATTTATTAAAGAAAAGTTATATAAATGATGTCATTTGTCCATGTGTTTTTATAAAGAAAATAATATCGGAGTTTGTTGTACTTGCCGTATATGTTGATGACATAAACCTTATTGGAACTCCTACAGAACTCCAAAAGGCAATTGATTATTTAAAGAAGGAATTCGAGATGAAAGATCTCGGAAAGACAAAATTATGTCTCGGCTTTCAAATTGAATATTTGAAAAACAGGATTTTTGTTCATCAATCTTCCTACACAAAAAAGGTATTGAAACAGTTTTACATGGATGGAGCACATCTATTAAGTACTCCGATGGTGGTTCGATCACTTGATGTGAATAAGGATCTATTCCGACCTCAAGAAAAAAATGAAGAGCTTCTTAGTCCTGAAGTACGATATCTTAGTACAATTGATGCACTAATGTATTTTGCTAACACTACAAGGTCTGACATAACTTTTTCAGTTAATGTCTTAGCAAGATATAGCTCTGCTCCTACAAGGAGACATTGAAATGGAATCAAACACATATTGTGGTATGTAAAAGGGACTACCGATATGGACTTATTTTATGGCAATAATTGCAGTCCCGATTTTGTTGGTTATGCCGATGCTGGGTATTTATCTGACCCGCATAAGGCTCGATCTCAAACAGGCTATGTGTTTACATGTGGAGGCACTGCCATATCTTGGCGTTCGACTAAGTAATCAATTATGGCTATTTCATCTAATCATGCTGAGATAATTGCTATTCATGAAGCAAGTCGAGAATGTGTATGCTTGAGGTGTATAATACATCATATTCGAGACAAATATGGTTTGAGGTGTGGCAAACTACCCACCATTTTGTATGAAAATAATGCAACATGCATAGCCTAATTGAAAGGAGGATTCATCAAAGGAGATAGGACAAAACACATTTCACCAAAGTTATTTTTCACACATGATCTTCAAAAGAATGGTGATATCAATGTGCAACAGATTCTTTCAAGTGATAATATGGCTGATTTAGTCACCAAATCTCTACCGACGTCAACCTTCAAGAAGCTAGCGTACAAGATTGGGATATGAAGGCTCAAAGATGTAAATTGATGCTCTCATCAGGGGGAGTTAATGCGTGTTGTACTCTTTTTCCCTTACAAGATTTTGTCCCATTGGGTTTTCCTTACAAGGTTTTTAACGAGGCAACCAAAAAGCGTTTTTTAAACATGTATATTCTTTTTCCTTCACTAGAATTTTTTTCCACTATCTACTAATAAACATTCAAGGGGGAGTGTTATAAATAATATTAAGAGTGAATGTCCATATATTATGAAGTTACTTGGGAGCAAGTTAGTTAGTCATAAACTAATCTAGTTACTTGGTAACTCTATTATAAATAGGAGACTTCTCTACTCATTTGTAAGGATATCATCAAGAAAAGATCTAGTATTATCTCTCTAAATTTCTCTTATTTTGCTTATTTCATATTATACCATAAAACAAAAGAAGTTCAGCTGAGTTTGAGGGAACATTTACATTTTTGTACCTAGTTTTTTTGGTTTCTTGCAGTACACAAGGTAACCTAACTTTGTTATATATCGTGAGAGTTGAAACAATAAGGTATCATCCAAACGATTTTAACTTTTGGATAAAATAAAATCACGCGCAACAACACACATGACCAGATTTTATTTGCTTGCCTTTTAAGGCGTCAACGCTTTTCTCTTATTCATCCATTTTCAAAGATACAATTCATAAATTAATATCAAAACTCTAATACGCATATAAATACAGTATCAAACGATACCTTTTAACAAAAAATACTTAGGATAGATTTATTTATATTGCATCTTTTATGCAAAATAAAATATAATCTAAACTAATTAACAAATTAATTAATTTTATTGATTATTAAATACTCGAGTAACCAAATGAAAATATAACATCCATGTAAAATTCTTGTATTCATCAAAAAATAATATAATTAATTAAGAAAGAAAAAAAGTCGCTCTTAAATAGTACAGAAACGTTTTACACAATTTTTTCTTCTTTTATTTCTTCAGTATTCAGTTTCTAATTAAACTTAAATGTATTTAATTATTAGAAATTGAATTTCGTTAGATAACTAGTCATCAATTTACATCACCTATATCTCTGCACAGATATGTCCCATGAATATGATAAAAACTTTGAAAGAAAAAAGGGATGAGTACTAGCTAGAAGTAAAAATGATACTCTCTCCGTTCCAATTTATTCCAATTTATATGAACCTTTTTTATTGGGTACGGAGTTTAAGAAAAAATGAAGTCTTTTGGAATTCGTGGTCCTAAACAATTCAAAAAGGGGCTCAGAGTTTTTTGTGTAGTTATAAAAGCTTCTCATTAAAGGTAGAATTGTAAGTTTAAACAAAATAGTTTTCAAATTTAGGAAGAGATCATTCATTTTTGAACGAATTAAAAAAAAAATAGGTTCACGTAAACTGAAACGGAAGTAGTATATTTTTTTTTAAAATAAAAAGTGAAGGTGGAAAGACAGATCAGCAAATGGTGAGTGAAAAGGCCACATAAGAGTGAAACCGTGTCCAAACCACATCCATTCCCTCTAAATAACTGCCTTACCTACGAACGCCAACTTGAGTTAAAGGATTCGAAACTCCATTGCTTCTTAATTTGGTTGACTGATGGTACCAGGTACTCACTTTTCACCATCAATCTTCCTTTTAACTCCACGAAATATTTAAGTATATATTTGCTTCATAGTGTGTTGGAACTGAGGTTGGTGATGGTTTTAGATTAAAGTGTTAATTAAAGAATTTTCTTCTCTGATTCTTCAAATATGTTTGCCTCGCTGGAAACAATAGTAATGCAAATGGTAGTGATAAAGCATATAAAAATTAATGATTGAAATGATAGTTGATAGGAAAATATTGTTTTCAAGTTATACAATTTGAATTATTGTATATTGTGAAAGTTATACATGGGACAAGAGTGGTAAGCACCCTCCACTTTCAACCAAGAGGTCGTGAGTTTGAGTCACCCCAAGTACAAGGTGGGGAGTTCTTAGAGGGAGGGAGCCGAGGGTCTATCGGAAACGGTCTCTCTACCCTAGGGTAGGGGTAAGGTCTGCGTACGCACTACCCTCCTCAGACACCACTAGTGAGATTATACTGGGTTGTTGTTGTTATTGTGAAAGTTATATATGCGAATATTATTATTAATAGGATGGAGTCAAACATCTTGAGACCTTAAAGATGACAAAAGTGATTTAAAATTTGAACAATTTAATAGGGAAATGTTATATAAAAAATATTGAGACTGAGGCGTGGTTGTTCTTGTTTTTGATATATAGGAAAATGTTAACATGGAATCATTTTAATAACTTGCAACAAAGTATTTTTGTTGAGTTGGAAGGTGGATTGCAGGAGAAGAAGTAAAATCAATTGTGGTTTAGGATTTCAGAAAACTCTTTCACTTGTTGGCGTTATGTTNCTCTCTACCTTCTTATGGTAGGGTATGGGCTGCGTAAATACTACCTCACTCGTAGGATTCCAATGGATTGTTGTTGTTGTTGTTAATCATGGTTGTTTAAACCTTGGTCTTTTCCTCCTAGGTAAGTTCTAGTTCTAGTTCTAACTCAGTTGGAACCATGTACTACTCCAGGAATATACTCAAGAAAAATGAGCCCTCGTACTTGGTGATACTTTAAGTACATAATGTTTGCAATTTCAACCCAAACGCAAGGTCTCAAACCGATGGTGTCATCATCAGAACGATTCTCTCCTGCCTCGACTTCCTTTCCAAAGGTATTACCACTGTTCTGTTTGTTAAGAGTAATATCAAACATATCTTGTTAACTCGTGTTATAGGATGAATGTCGTATTCAGCATATCTTAGAATACTGTTAGCTTAATTTAGTTTCAGACACAATTTTGTACTTGTACACTTATGTATGTAAATTCTTCTCTACATAATGAGATTCTTCTGTGGTTACATTAATGTATGTAAATTCTTCTCTACATAATGAGATTCTTCTGTGGTTACATTAATCAAGGAAGCTAGAATTCTGAACTCTAACTTACAAAACATATTTATCCAATGGACGTGTGTTTTGATATAAAATTGTTCTCCTCGTTTCCACAATTTTGTGTTTCTGATTACATTGTTAAATTGTGTGTGTGTCTGGAGAAATTTTCTGTATTTCCCTTGACGTAATGTTGATGTCAATATCTCTTCATAGAGTTACTGTGTTTCACAGGGCAGTCCATTCTCGTCAAAGCAAAGTTCTTTTCAAAGAGGTCAATTTCATGTTAGACGATTCCTTGGGCTTAATCAAACTGGTAAAAGAAGAAATAATGCAGGTAAATGATGCTGATTCATCTCATTTGGTTTTTATTGCTTGTTTAAATTTAGAGGCAGCTGACTGTCTTGTTTCTTTTTCGGCTGAAGTTACTACCACTACTGAAACACTTCCACACTTTAAACAGGAAATACATGCCTTCAATTTTTGCCTTTTATTTGATTCAGAGTTATCAACTCAGTAATGTTCTGTGAATTCCTTGTATCATCTTTGTAATTTTTGCCTTCAGAATCCAATGAAATTATTGAACTAACTTACATCAATTCTTGTCTTGATCTATCTTACTAAGGTCTTATTTTTCGCGATGCATCTTCTGAAATTGTTGTGTGTTAGTAATTACTCTGTTCCATGGAGTTGTAGTATTGTCGTATAATCCTGTTCGATTTACTAATGTACCTAAACTAGTCGTCATATTTTATCCATTTTGTTTGTTGATACTGTAGGTATTGTAGTGTCACCAAGTTGTGTCCTTCCACTAACCGAAGAAAATGTTGAGAAGGTTCTAGATGAAGTCAGGCCAGGCCTAATGGCAGATGGAGGGAATGTTGTACTACATGAGATCGATGGCCTAGTTGTAATTCTTAAGCTTCAGGGAGCATGTGGATCTTGTCCAAGTTCAACAATGACACTTAAAATGGGAATTGAAACTCGCCTTCGGGATAAAATCCCTGAAATAATGGAAGTAGAGCAGATTCAGGACTCCGAGACTGGCCTTGAGTTAAATGAGGAAAATATTGAGAAGGTACAAGACACATGACCTTTGAGATTTATTTCCAATAATCTATTAACATTTGTAATTACTCTTAGCTTGTTCTGAGTAGTATTTAGACACTAAACTAATGCAATATTTCCAATTATATCAGCTTCTTGGAGAGATTAGACCATATCTGGTAGGAGCAGGAGGTGGAGAACTTGAGCTTGTTCAGATTAATGACTACATTGTTAAGGTTCGACTGAGTGGACCGGCAGCTTCCGTGATGACAGTTCGTGTAGCTCTTACTCAAAAATTAAGAGATGCAATACCAGCTATTGCTGCAGTTCAATTGATAGAATGAAGGAAATGCTCAGCCATATGACGACGTTCTGCAAGAATTTCAGCAGTGACTAAAGATTTCTAGACAGTAAGTATGGCTACATGTTCTCTCTTTACAGTAACATCATTTTTGGTATAAATGTAGTATTCTTTATCCGCGACTGCATGTTAGCATATTGCATGTAACACAGAAGCTTCTATAAGTTTTCTTGAACTTATAATGTGCCAAGTAATGGGAGACTTCTCACCTGAACATTCTTCCAAATTGTAAGTAAAAGGAACTTAAAAGATACATGATGGAACTATATGGTGGTCTAGTTCATTTTACTGACTCCTTTTGCATCTGAAGAAGCAAGATCAGTACTTAATACTCTGCAGCGGATGCGAAACTACCTATTGTTTCTGCACAACCTGAAGCAGTAAATAGTTAAACTGTCGACAAGACTAACCTACATCATGATCAATAAGGATCATAGATGTGAAACTGCCATATCAAAACAAACTCAGAAGTTCATATCTACTGTGTTCATACTGAAAGCACTTCACACCAGTAAAGCAGTACTGCAGATTACAGACAGATGTCAGTTTCTTAGTAACTCGATGGACAAACTCTATTAACTATCTCCAATACTCTTAGCTGAAGAAAAGGGCAGAAACTAAACCCCATTATATATAAGTTATACCCTCTATTTACTATCTCCTACAGTAGTATAGCTAGAAATGCACAATGCTTTGATTAAGATAGGGAAACATTCCAGACAAAAGCACCAGACCTTAATTAAGAGGATAAATAGCACATTCCAACTGAATAAGTACCAGATCAGCGACATAAGTGGCACACTCCAACTGAATAAGTACAAATAATTAATTTTGAACTGTGTAAATCAAATGAGTTGTGGTAGACTTTCGATCTCAGTCCATAAAATTCAAATTCTGGATGGCAAGTTTAACTGGAATTTCCTCAACATATACTGTGGAAGTGGAAGTGGATATAGTAGTATAGGTTTAGCATATTTCATATTGATGGGAACATTGATGTCTTCTATGGTCATGTCAGTCATATCACATATGAATATCCTCAGCACCAATAGCAGCAGCAAATGGAAGGTTAGCTACGTACAGATGCTTTGTATAATATACGCATTTTACTTGGATTCTCATTCAATAATGTAATTCTGCAAATTTGACTTTCCATTTTCCTTTTCTAGTCCATTGAAAATGTTTACTTCAGTGATTATAATAATATCATGTAGGAGTATTATATTATATAGCTCTAAATTTACACAGCTGCACTTTACTTTTTTGCCAATGTGAAATATTATCCATCATATCATTTAAAATTAAAATAAGTCAACCTTCTCACCTAAGAAAGTTAAATAAAAAGTTCACCCTTTTATTTCTACTCTTAATGATAAAGTCATACTAAGTCATTTAATTTGGACTAGAACCAGAAACTTAAATTTCGAAAATGGTATTGCATAGTTCCAACAGTCACTTAAAAGATAGCGTTCCACATTTTCTTCTTTTCTTTTGTTTTCTACGTATGTTTTTCCGAAAGCAAAAAACAAAAATAGACCTGAGTTGACCATGATCATTGTGATGCACAGTGGCACAGGGTCAGGCAAACAACTCTTCCTCAACTAATTATATGATATGTGAAGAGTATATTATATCACTTAACATCAGGAAAAAAATTAAAAAGAAGGAAGCAATGTTAATTTATCATTGTGTAATATGAGTTTGAGGTAGGTTGCTCTGATGGTAAGCACCCTCCGCTTCCAACCAAGAGGTTGTGAGTTCGAGTCACCCCAAGAGCAAGGTGGGAAATTCTTGGAGGTAAGGATGCCGAGGGTCATTTGGAAACAGCCTCTCTACCCAGGGTAGGGGTAAGGTCTGCATACACACTACCCTCTCCAGACCCCACTAGTGACCAGACCCCACTAGTGAAATTATACTGGGTTGTTGTTGTTGTTGTAATATATGAGTTTGAATTATTTACGAGATTACTATGGAGTAGAATTTATGTGAACCATTTGTGTTTATTGGTTAAAGTCTCCTAATATTATTGTCTCAATATAAATGGAATTGCTTCTAATGGCGCTATCCCAACAAAGATGAGCTCATCACCTAGGCCTTCATTCGTGAAATGTTGTTATAATTTGTAACACTTCAATAGGCTCTAGGCACTAATTTGAGGTTGAAGTTTTAACCAATACTTAATACTATCCAACTTAGGAACCACTACTGATAGATCTTTGCTTAAAATCAAAACTGATCTTTAGTTAGCCGAACATGTGGTAGAAGTCTAAAGCAACATTTGAATAAATCAAGCAAGTCCACTAGCAACTCATGTACAATGTACGTCTTAGATTATTCGAAATTACACTTTAATACCTTATGTATGCTCTGATAATGCCATGTGCACGTTTTGCATTTTGAATTATACTCCCTATGTGACCTAGAACATATTTTAGATTTTAATTTCCATACATAATTTTCTCTTTTGAAATTTATACACTTTTTAAACAGTTCAATAATTCACCATATCTCTATATGTGTTTAAATGTTACTTTTAATTTAAAATAGTCCATCTGTTTTATTTTATACGCTATTATTATCACATGCGGATCTTGTCGAACTTTATCTGTTTTATAATTACGCACTTTAACTTTGCATGGGTCTTATTAAACCCATTAAACTTGTTCAAAATGATAAAAGTACCACCTTTGAAGCCCATGTGGCACGAGCAATGTCTGCACTGTGCAACACGCGAAATGAAGAAAAAAGCTTAAAATTTTATTTTTTTCTAGTATTTTCTAATTATAAATATGTATTTTTACTTTATTTATTTTCTTTTTTTATTTTAGTTTGGCTTGATTTTAATATTTTAAAAACTAACGTTGGTCACAGTTTAACGAAAAAATCGATAAAATCAAACTGTGATCCACTACTAAAAATTCACTTAAAACCGTCCGAAAAAATCGACCAAATTCGGTCGAAAATTACCGACCAACTTCGGTCAGTATGCTCTACACGACCATCTCACAATTTAATTGACTAACCGACCATTATTGGTCAGAATATTATTTTAATAATTTAATTTTACCGACCAACGTTGGTGTGTGTGCTAAATTTAATAATTATGGTTACCGACTAACTTTGGTCGGTAAAAAAATAAATTAATAATATAATATTTTAATTACCGACCAATGTTGGTCGGTATTAGAAAATATTTTTTTTTACATAATTACAATTTAACAGTATCGACCAACGTTGGTCGGTAATCTGGACATAGCAGCCAACTTACCGACCAAAGTTGGTCGGTAATGTTGAATTTCTGTGAATTCTGTGTACTAACCGACTAACATTGGTCAGTATTTTACAATTTTTTTTTAATTACCGACTGAAGTCGGTCGATTTTCTAGGAATAATTTTGGCAGAATATGCCTGTTTTGGTAGCTACACCACCTACCAAATAAAAACATATATTTTTAGCATACCAATACCCTCAATCACGGGTGTCAATGGTTCGGTTCGGCCGATTATTTTATAAAATTTGTACCATACTAATTTTTCGGTTATTCTATTATGAATAACCAAAATTAGACTTTTCGAAACCGTCTCAATCATGTCGGTTTTTCTTCGGTATCGGTACGGTTCGGTTAATTTTTGGTAATTCTTTTTAAATGTCATGGAAAAGTCACTAATAGAAGTAGAATGCAATAATATATGTACTTTTATAAGACTTAGCAAAACACTCTAGATATTTTTACAGTTTAAAAGGGGATGAATTAAAAAAATATGAAAGATGGCTAGAGTATAGATCCACCAATTATTCTACAGCAACGTAAAAGAAATTAAGCAAATACAATAAAAATATAAATCACATAGATGAAAATTAACCAAGTTGGGACTCAAGAATAAAGTCTATAGAAGATTAAATATTCAAAAAGATAAACATAAATCATACGAAAGGAAACATATTCAATACATTGTAGTTTGCTACTCATAATCGCTACAATACNATGCCACACTCTCACTGGGAGACTAAGAAAGAGAGAGAAAGCTAAAGTTTTATTTTTATAACATTTTTATAAAATATAGGAGTACTATTTACAATTTTTTTTCTCTTATTTTTCTTTTTCTTTTCCTTTTCTTTCATCTAGTTTTGTTACTTATAGATTGGCCGTAAATTAACTCCAGCATTCTCCATATTTTCCGGCGAGATCGAGTTGAAGATTTTTGTAACGACTCAATCGGTCATTTTGAATGTTAGAACCCCATTCCCCTAAATAAGACTCCCCGTATGTGATTTTACTAATTTATGACTTGCGGGGATGGTTGGTTCGGGATTTAGAAGTGTTCCGGTTGAAATCGGTGCACTTAGTTCCTTTGTTGGCTTTAAGAAGGGCGAGTTTGACTTCGGTCAATATTTTTAGAAGACAACCTCAGAATCGAGATTTTATGGTTCCAATAGGTTCATATGATGATTTTGGACTTGGGCGTATGTTCGAATCGGGTTTTGGATGACCCGGGAACGTTTCAGCGCCTATTGTAAAAGTTGGCATTTTGAAAGAATTTCATAAATTTGGGTTGAAGTGTATTTTAATATTATTAATGTCCGTTTGGAATTTCGAGTCTGGAAATAGTTCTGTGTGATGATTCTGGTGTTAGGAGCATGTCCGGATATTAATTTGGAGGTCCGTAGGTCATTTCGGAGTCATTTGGCGAAAGTTAGAAATTTGAAGGTTTTTAAGAAGTTTGACCGGGAGTGGACTTTTTGATATTGGGTTCGGATTCCGATTCCGGAAGTTGGAGTAGGTCTGTATGGTGATTTAAGTCTAGCACGCAAAATTTGGTGTCAATCCGAGTAGTTTAAGTATGTTTCGGCGCGTTCGGAGTAAGTTTGAAGAATTTGAAAATTCTAAGTTGAATCAATTTGGTTTGAGGTATGATTTGTAGTTTTGCTATTGTTTGACGTGATTTTAGGCCTTGAGCAAGTTTTTGTTAGATTATGGGACTGGTTGGTGTGATTAGACGGGGTCCCGGGGGCCTCGGGTATGTTTCGGGGTGATTTCAGATCAAATTTAGATGAAAAGCTATTGCTGGTTTGCTAGTTCTGGTTTTGTTCTTCGTGAACGCGAAGAGAGTCGCGCGTTCGCGAAGAGGGAAAATGGTGGCTTCTATCTTGTGCTTCGGAACGCGAAGAAGGGCTCGCGAACGCGGAAGAGTGCTTGATGAACCTACGCGAACGCGGTGGGCCAGTCGCAAACGCTTAGAAGAAAATGGAGGAGATGGGCCTGAGGTCGTTGGCCTTCGCGAAGAAGCAAGATCAGATGGCCATCGCGAACGCGGCGAGGAGGTCGCGAACGCAAAGAACAATTTTGGGGCAGGGCATTTGGCCTACGCGAACGCGAGGTATTGGTCGCGAACGCGAAGAATGGGCGACAGTGCTGGGCAGTGAGTTGTTTTAAATGGGATTTTGGCCATTTCCGCCATGGGAGCCGATTTTAGAGCTCCATATTCATCATCTATGTCAAGGTAAGTGATTCCCACCTATTGCAAGTTTAATACTTGGATTATATATGGATTTAGACATGAAAATTTGTAAAAATTTGGGATTTTGAAGGAAAAACTAGAAATTGATATTTTTGAATTTTAACCACGAAAATGGCTATGGAATTGGATGGAAATGGTATATTTGAGTTCTTGAGGTTATGTGTAACGATTTCCTCTAACAATTTTCGGAATCCGGACACGTGGGCCTAGGGTGAATTTTAAGAATTTTACCATTTTGGATAGGGTAATTTATTTAATAGTCTAATTTCAAATTATTGAGCATGTATTAATTATTTTATATAAATTTTGGATAGTTTCGGATTTTTCGGCACCGAATTGAGATTTTTCGCGACATTTTGATCGAAAAGTGGG